AGCATGGGACCTTTTTTTTTTCAGCGTTCACATGATCGTGATAGGAAATGGTTTTCTAGTCCTAAATTGATTCCAAAAATATTGATTGCAAAAGTGCACTACAACAAATTTTTGCGAATCAGTTTCATACAAGGCTTCCCCATATAACAGCTAGTTATCATTGGTTAGGTGCACCATGGGCAGATTATGTTCCGGTCGCGTTTGAATTTGAGAGAACTGGATCGAGAGATAACGCCAGCTTTGTGTTTTAGTATGTCAGGCAAAAGAATTAAAACGAATCTTTTCTCAAATTCTGACGTCACAACTCATTGTAATTATAAATGTTTTCTTCGTCGAGACATCTAGACCTTTATACGCATAAGTAGCATTTCTACTTTCCGCTTGCTGGTCAGAGAATATTAAATTAGAAGCTAAATTTTGCAACTGGTGGGATGACGCCGACGAGAAATTAAGATGCAAACAGGAGAGGGTTATGTCATTATTTTTCTTAGAGTTACAACAAACAAACATTCCCACTCCGCAAAACGTGACCCCTTCCCCCTTCCCCCCCAACAAAAAAAAAATTCCAAGTACTCTCAGGCAGAAAACTTCGCCTCATCCAAAGTTTTTTACTTTATTTTCTTTTTCAAATATTAACAACAAACAGAACAGTTCATTGAAGAAAACGGAAATGACAATCTAACTTCTCGAGTTAAAAAAAACTTGTTACACTTTTGGTACGAATAATGTCTTTAGCACATCGTTGAACAACAGATCGTTCAACACCTAGATTCCCTTACAACAATTCCTATCTATCGAGCGCCGGATTCTTTTTCCATCTAAAATTCGTCTTCTTCCTCCTCCATAATGTCGTGAAGAGGATTAATTTGCATATAATTTTCATCCCAAGACCGACTCATGTAGTGTTTCCGAAAATTTCGAGTTGGTGAAGTGATACCTTGTTGACGCTCTGGTTTCTTGAATAAATTAGTCAGGCTTGGTAAAGTGCTGGAATTACTCTCTGGTAAACTTTGCTGCTAGAAAAATACAGTATTTATCAAACACCTACAGTTAGAGAACGGTCATTATTTGTCGCTTGAGAGTGGGAAAGGGAGGTTGACTGGGTGGTAGGATTTTGGTTATGTCGCCATAAAATCCCCCTTTTAAACCCTCCC